ACCCCTATGGTGCTCCATATAATCTAAAACTGAGATTTTCAAACTTTTCCTATTGCTTACCCTTTTCCAGAGTGCCTAGGTGCCCACATACCATCATCCAGATTTACCAGCTTCTGGAGTACCCCTACCCTTCTCATCATTGAAACTTCATATGTGTTTGTCTTCACACTATCTGTCTTTGGCTATCTGTCCATATTCCACTGTTATGTACAGATATAATTATGGCACAATGTATACAACCGGGAAAAAATCCTAAATTCTGAGCTCCGTTAGATTGGACAGTTGCTGGGCAACTTAACCTGTGCTCCTAAGTGGCAGATATAACAGGCCAGAGAAAACTAAGCCTCCCCTGGTGCAGCTGCCACAGGCTCACTGCTAGATGCGTAGGCCCCAAGCACCCTGCCTGCCACTCTGCTTCTTCCTGTCTGTGCTCCATTCTTTCCCAGAGGATCCCACCACCTGTCACTGCATGGCTGAGTCCCTCCTCTCCTCCCCCTCACTTGGTTCCCCCACCCACTATTCTCTGCATCCTTTCTCTCCTCCACCCCTCTCCTCCATGAGGTCCTTCCTCTACCCTACACTCCCACATCCCTCATGTGAAAAATGCAATAAATAAAATTCACCTTTATACAATTTCAACTCCCAGAGATATCTCGTATATCCCCAAGAGTATGTGTACCACAGGTTGTGAATCTCTGTTCTAGAAGATCAGAGCATTTTGGATGTCTGATAAACCACCACTTGAAGGCAGAGTTAAGGTTGCAGGGCAGTTCTGGTGCATACATTAGCTCTGTATTTTCTGTTTTTCAAAGGTTTAGTTATAAGTCAATTTGGTGTTCTGGAAGCGTGTAAGATACTGACAACCAATCTTAACTATGTGTAAACGTATAAAGTTTCAAAGCAGTGAATTTCCCTTGTTTTTTGAGGAAGTGACGGTAGGGAATGGGGCAGGGTTGGGCAAAAGGGCATCCGTGGACCAAATTCGGCCCACCAAGTGGGTTGATCTGGCCAGCAGAGGCCCTACTGCTCCCCTGCTCCTAGGCCAATTAGGGCCTGGGGGTGGGGGGAAGGGCACAAAGTTTCCTCCACCCTGCCAGGAGCCGTGCGCTCCTGGCAGGGTGAGAGAAGACTTCGCACACTACCCCACCCTCAAACCCTGATTGGCCTGGAGGTCGGGGGAGCTCATGAAGTTTCCTCCACCCTATGAGGAGTGAGCAGCACTTAGAAGCACCATGCGCTCCTGGCAGGGTGGGAGGAGGCATTGTATGCTCCCCTTCCTCCAAGCCCTAATTGGCCTTGGGGTGGGGGGGCACAGGAAGTCTTCTCCTACTGCCAGGGGAAATGGGTGCCATGGGGAACCTCGGGGGGGTAAAGGGGTTCACCCACCCCCAGACTAATCATGGTCTGTGGGTGGGGAAGTCCAGAAGCATCCTGGCCCCACTCCTTCCAGAGCGGCCCGGGGCCACTTTACAAATTTTTGAAGTGGCCCCTGGCAAAATATTATTGCCCACCCCTGGAGTGGGGCATGATGGTGGTGGGGGCATGTGTAAGAGGTCATAAGGAAGCTTCCTGGGAACTTCTTGATGCCCCTCAACTATCAGTTTTGTCCTCTTTCTAGCCTTATGTAGCCCCAGCCGGGATGGAGAGCCTTGGGAAGGAAGGAAGGTGGCAATCTTGGGACTATAAGGAGCACATGTACCAGCTGGATGCACCACGGAGGTACGAAGGGGAGCTCCAGGCTACACTTCCTTTCAGGGTAGTGTAAAAGAAGGAACTCAGCACAACCTTCCACAGCGTGGGGGGGTTTGCAGAAGTATAAGGTGACTTATTCATCTCACGAGATGTTCTCTGATGAATCAGGACACTCCATGTAGATGAGTACAGCCTGACACAAAAGCCCAGACCAATGTGAATGTCTCGCTGTAAAAAGTATTCTCCCAATGTTTGCCCCTGCCCTCATTATGGAATATCAGTTTGTACAAAAATCTCACTATGTATACAGTATCGATTTTAAAGCAATTTGACTATTAACATCAGCTCATTACTGGTAGGGCTGTATCTGAGGAACTCTTCACTGATCTCAACTGTGACAACATAGCACAGAAAAAGAAGCTATTGCTTACATAACCTGATCCCAATCCATTTAGGGTTGTTTAGGTGAAAACCAATACCTGGAAGCTTACTGAAAATCAGTGCAGACCACAGAATGGTCTAATGTGTTCCCAACCTGAAACCTCACTTAGTAAGTGACAAAGGGCATTCTGCATTAGTTTAGGATTTTGAATGCTTCCAAGATATTGGTCCTCGTTGAGTGCACTACAGAAATCTAATTTCCAGGTGACAACGCATGGATAAAGGTGCTAGGGTCTACATTGGAAATAGCAAGTTGTGCTTGTGTTTTCAAGCACAGATGGAAAAAAGTAGCATTGGCCACAGCTGCTGCAAGGATATCTAGTCCTGGATCTAAGAAGAGTTCCAAATTATGCACAAATGATCATCACATTTCCTTGGTGAGGGCTGCCAAGATTAATTCCACCATATCTTCTGGCTATTTCCCCCAACACTATCTCAGTCTAGAGCAAGGTTTCCCAACCTATAGGTCGGGATCCAAATATGGGTCGCCATTACATTTCAAAAGGGTCACCAAGTGTCTCCCCGGTGGCTCTGCCCTCCCTCCTCCCCCCCTTTTTTTGAATTGCCTTGAGTCACCAAGTCTTCCTGAATTGTCAAAATGGGTCCCCATCTGGAAAAGGTTGGGAATCGCTGGTCTAGAGTCTCATCCAAGCCCAAGTTCACCTAGTTACCGGGTAATTCTCTCTAGGTGAGACATGGAGCAAGGAAAACATGCTTCAGAACATCCTGACCTAAATTAGACCTAGAGTAGGCTTTGGACTTGGAATCTATGTCACTGCACTTTTGTGAGAGGTTTTAGTGAGATTTTGGCAAATCAGCAGCACCAGAAAATAAGCGGGTTCTGACACTGGATCTGAGCTACGATCAAAACTACAGGAGCAGGTTTAGATGTAGGTAAACACTGCTGAAATACAAAGGGATTGAAATTCAAAGTCAGGGGTTTGGCCCACCTCTAATTATACTGAACAGAATCCTGAATTCCTTAGTTGGCTGTTATGCAGCCTATTGTCTTCAATGAGAGTTTTGCCTGACTTTGGTACTGGTGGAAGATTTTGGGCATTTAGCGAGAAAGCGCATTAAATGAAAAAAAATCCCTTGTTCAAGTAACAGTTGAGTTCTGACAAATCCATAGACCCAAAAGAATTCATAGCTGAGAATCCAATTTGATTGACACTGTCTTTAACACATGTCGTGGTACCGCAGAATTGTAGGCAGCATTAAGTGAGATCACACATGCTTTTGGAAATCTTGGCAGATGAGAATAGGTGGAGTAACAACAATGTGTCAGATTGGATTTTCACCCTTACTGTCTTGATATTTTGAATTTTACTCAGTCCCTGAAGGCTCCTTAACTTTCATGGTTTAATTTATTTTATTCCCGAGGCACTGGTGCATATTTACCAGTAAACTATAATAGCTCCCTTGAAACTAAAGAACTTTATAATATGCATAT